CACACACAAGCACTTTCAATCTGTCTTGATCGTGATCTTGATCGCGATCGTGATCGTGATCTTGATCGGGATCTTGATCGTGACCTTGATCGAGATCTTGAGCGGGATCTTGAGAGGGATCTTGAGAGGGATCTTGAGCGGGATCTTGAGCGGGATCTTGAGGGGGATCTTGAGGGGGATCTTGCTCTCCTTGAGTCAATCGATCGAGACGTTGATCGGGATCTCGCTAGTTAAATGTTTTGTGTACCGCATAGAGTGTGTGAACTCAGTTAGACTTAGCTCGTCGGTCCCCACCACTTAGCCCTTCAAGGCTGATTCTTTTGGAGAAAGGGAAGAGATTTGTGAATGCACTGCATTCGGACAGGTATCATCGCTCACCGATGGAGGGAGAAACACACTAATCAACATATGAGCTGCACCGCTCTCACGCGCACCCTTCTTCTTTCTTTCTCTACTTCTTTCATCCTCCCCTTCGTATGACAGAATCAAGATCACTATTTTGAATTAAATTACCTATTATGCTTAGAACATAATCGCTCTGCTTCGTAATGCTTCAATTTCCCTCCGTTAAAAAGACAACTTACGTCCCACAACCACGTCATCTGACTCCTCCCCCTCCTTCTCCTTATTTGGCCCCTAGCACCCAATGACGTCTACATCTCGTCAGCAGCGACCATCCAACCCAATTCAATCCCATCACAAGACATCTGATTGCCTGATTGATCGCTTGATTGATATCTTGATTGATTGATTGCTTGACTGATTCATTGGATCATTCATGCCAATCCACTCATCATCAATCGTCTGATCTCGATCTCCTTTCGCTTCCTTCAGATCGACATTCTGATCAACAATTATATATACATTTCTAACCAATATATATATATACTCTATATATAAACTCTCTCTCTCTCTCTCTCTCTCTATATATATATATATATATTATATTGTTTATGGACGCCAGCGCTAAATCGCGCAGCTCCAGTCCGCCCTCGTAAGGCATATAAAAGCAACCGGAGGTTAGTGGGAGTTACTAATTTGGGGGCCAAGAACCAAAAAAAAAAAGTGAAGTTCAGACAGAAGAGAGAGATAGAGAGACATGCAGTATTACTTACTTACTTAGAAAAAAGTACCCGCCACATTACTTAGAAAAAAAAAAGTACCCGTCGCAGCAAGGAGGAGAGAAGAGGAATTGAGAATCGAGAAGAGAAGAATTGCAATTTTGTCGTCCATGATCCGATCTCAAGATTCGAACTCGCGCCCTCCCTCATGGGAGTTGCACGCTCAACCAGACGGCTGACCTCCCTCCCTCCCTCATGGGAAGTTTTGCACGCTCAACCAAACGGCTAAGCTGAAGAAGAATTGAATTGAATTGAATTGAAGTAGCGAGGCCGATCGCTACGCGTCCATGTTCATAAGGTAGGCATACCAGCCCCTACACGGACTTCCAGCTCACGAAGAAGAAGACGACGAAGAAGAAGAAGAGGAAAAGCAATTGCCAAATTGCTCTTCATACGCAATTGAAACTACTTGTCGAAGTCTCATACAAACGTTTCAATTGCACCGAACATGTCTCATGTCTTTTCTGCGCTGCGCTCTTACGAAAGCGAGATCATCATCGAAGAGAGGACGGATCGCTTTCTATATCAGAGAGCAAGTTGCTGTAGAACAGGCAGGAGGTGGGGATAGTGATGGAGAGTGAATGCGGAGGGAATCTCCTAACGAGAGCTTCTGTTGAGGACTACGTCGGATCTTCGATTTGAACCGTCGACGAGCTGTCTAGGAAGAATGTACGAAACACCTTTGGCGCCAAAAAGATGATGCGACTATGGCGGTCGATCGAGAAGCCATGGCGCTTTCTCCTCTCTCTCTCCTCCCTTCTCTTCTCTCCTCTCCTCCAACCGGAGAAGGAGAATTCTCCTCCTCCCTACTCTCCGTCACGGGAAAAAGAGAGAGAGAGAGAGAGAGAGAGAGAGAAAGATGCACGAGCCAACCCGTTCGTCTATCCCGACAAGATCAAGATAGGCAAGCTATAGCACGGTCTCATGCCAATTAGCCTGCTTGGTTGGGAGAAGACCAATCAATCCCTTTCTGGACCGCTAAGGCGCAGTCCCGCCTTGCGCCTATCGGTAGCGACAGCGAGTCTCAGATCTCCATTCCCGCCTTCTCACATCCTCCCTCCACCCCCCAACCCTCCTCTCTACCTCCATGACCTCTTCATACTGCTCCTCCTTCCCGTACCCGACCCGGGGCTAGGTCCCACTTACACGAATTAAGCGTTAATGACCGTAGATAGCAAAGATCAACGGCCAGATTCTCGTAATCCGTGCGAGTGGGACCTTGCCCCCGGCCGCTTCAACGCCCACCTTCGGTCCCGTTCTTTCCGTCTCTGCTTCCCTCCTTCCCCCTGGCCCAACCCTTGGCACTCTCACAACTGAACTACTGCCAGCACATTGAGCCTCCGGTAATCTATAACCGTAACCTGGCTCGCCTCTAGGACCAGATGCATTCTGATCCGCACGCGGCGGGATGCCGTGTGGACACCCAGCCGCCTGCTGCCAGGGAGGCAATCGTGATTGTTCCAGTACACTAGAAAACAACCAGCGGTACCTGTCACAGCCGTATATTTTCCGTGTTTTTTTCACAGCCGTAGATGCCCCACATCTACCGCCGAAAAGATTCACCAAAAACAAAGAAAGATGCGGTAGGCTGCAACTCTTTTGCTTTTTTCCAAAGGCTAATTTCTTGCCCATCTTTTTTTTGACTTTTATTTACAGGTAAGGTATATTCTTCTCTCATCTATTTCATCTTTCTTGGTCGTACTCATCTATCTCATCCTCTCACTACCTTCTATGTATAGCACGGGGGAACACCAACCAACCCGGGGGCCAAGTCCCACGTAGGCTGATCCTTGATTTCTGGTTGTTGATCTTCCGGTCAAAACTCGATCATTCGGGTAATTGGGACTTGGCCCCGGATCTCTCCCCAGCCCACGGGTAGGTTGGCACCACAGTTTTTTTTTTTATTTATTTGGACCATTTCTCGATTTATGCCTGTCATCATTGCGCAGGGGCCATTTGCTAATCTTCATTCTCTGTATCGTTCCAAGATGTCCCGAAGGACGGCACCACAGTTGTGGTGTGAGAGCAAAAGAAGAATTGAATTGAAATTGAATTGAATATGTGTCCATGTCACAATGATAAGCAAGGAGGCACCTTCACGGACTACTAGCTCGATGCGCACATTCCCCGACGCGTTTCGCCTGGCTGCGCACCAGGACTTATCAAGGGGCTTCCCACACTCCCGCATCCACCGAAGCTTACCGCCCAGAGCAAAGAGGGCCGTTCTGGCCTTGCCCTCTGCACA